GGCCACAGAATGGAAATAGACAGGAACACTAACCGTTGCCAGGCCCCAGACATAAAAACCTCCATTCTGGCTTCTCCATTTGTACTCCCGAATCTCATGTGCTGGAATGACAATTATTGAAGGGTGACCCTGGAAGGCCTGTGTTCAGAGAGTCCGGGCCTATGTAGCCTGGGTCACCAAATGACCTCTTTAAAGCAGTCATTCTCCCACGCCCCACAGAGGTGTTCACCAGCCGGCAACTATGAAGAAAAAAGGTGACACTACAGATCTCTCTCATACACTCAGGTCCGTTTGTTACAGGTCACTAATGCAGTATACGTGCCTTTCAAAGGAGCAGTCAAGGGGGCCAGGAGAAAATCCCTGTCCCTTCCAGAAGGAACCCTGAGACAAACCCACTTGGGCAAGCGGCTTGGAAATAAGGGGCTGATCCTGGTCACCATGGTCAACATGTTGTGTTGGGAGGATGGTGACAAGCTACTGAACCACCACTTTCATTCTGTAGCCTTAAAACCAAGACTCAGAAGTCAGAGCAGCCCCCCCCCACACATGGGCAGACACAGAGCTAAGATACACATCTCCAGGGTCAGGGTCACTCAAACGGGAGTCAGTGGAGTGGTGTCAGCCCACCAAGTGTCTGTCCTGGTCTGTAAAGGGATTAATACCAAAATTGAGGGTAAGTGTTCTAGAAACATCTATAGTGATTTTCTAGAGTAATATAGCTTTGGATCTAAAAATAAAATTGGCGTCTTATATCATGGGCTTCATTTTTATTTCATTTTTCCCGCCATTTATTGTACAAGTCCATGATGGTTTAGAATTTTTAATAACTGTTCTGTTTTTCTAGATACCAGAGTCTCAAACCTCTTCAGCTGAATTCCCAAAGCCTCCATGTCCCCTTCCCAGTCTTTTGTGCCTCCTCCCAACCCCTCAGGCTCAGCAAGTCCCTTCATCCTTCCTCTCAAGGAGGCCCCTCTCAGAAAGTGGATGGCCTTAAACTCTCCCCACCCTGCCAACATGCTAGCTGTAGGCACTGGTTCCTGAATACCACTCTAAGACTCCAGCCAAAACGAAGGGTTAAGTGAACAATTATTCATCACATAACAACACCGCTGGGAGCTAAAACAGCACAGGGCTCTGCTCCAGAAAGTGGCCAGTTAGAAGAAGGAATGGACTAAAACCCTGCTGATGAGGCTTGCCCACGAATCTGAACCTCAGGAGGCATCTCTGCTGCTAGGTGAACAGCACCTCTGTCCATCCTGCTAAACCTGAAAGGCAAAGTAAAGGGCCCTGCCTCTCTCTTCCAAGGAGGCCGACACACATGGAGAAATCCCATACCTGCTTAGGGGAAGAATGATAGGTTATTTACAAAGTGAGTCATCTATGTGGCATCAAAGTATGATGAAGTATTATGGGAAGGGAACAGGATGTGGAGACAGCATTAGCTCTGCCAAGCAGGACCAAATAAATTACCCTTTACAGGGAAGAGCTGAACTAGCTGGTGTGCATGCGTGCACACACACACACACACACACACACACACCCTCTCCTTGAAACTGAATTAAGCAGGAGAAACAGATGGCAAGAACATGACAGAATGAATAAAGGAAACAGTAAGGGGACAGCCAGATAGTGCCAACGTTCCTCAGCACTCAGGTACGTGGGGCTTCCATGCAGGTCTGGGTTTCAAGCAGATGACATTTTATAGAATTCCCAGGAACAAAAGGATAGTAACATAAGCAAAAGCAAGGACCTTTCAAAGTCACTAGATACACGTGATCAGGAAGACTAGAAAGGCAGCAAAGACAGGTACTGAGTGTCCTATAAGTCTCATCTGGATATCCGAAATATAGGTATATTTAAGGATTTTAAAAAATTTTTTTTGCAAGCAAAGCTAAAGAATAAATGTGTGATGCCATTTTGAAACCTCCTGCTGGGAGCCAGGACTCTGATGAGACGTAGTCAGCGCAGGTGTTCCTAGGGGTGAACGGCTCTGCTGCTGCACACCTGGCCCGGTGAGGCACCTTGCTCTTGGGCCAAGAGAGCAGCAGGGTTTAGCTCACCATGCCTCTCTGTCAACGGGAAGTGGCTACATAGAAAGCGATCCTAACGGCCTCTGTGGCACTTCACAAGCTCTGAGAATGACCAAGATGGGCTACTGCTGTGTGCCACAGGCCAACGGCCAGGCAGAGGTGACAGACGTTCCTGAGCTGACAGTCTTGCCAGAGCCTGTGGCCACTATCTAGCTGCCTCAAGAAGCCTTCTCCTGCCTGGCTTCTGGCAAGCCATGCACACACCACACAGCCCAGACCAGGCACTGGCAGCTCACAGAAGGTGGCCAGTGCCCTGGAAAAAGTAAATCTGAGCATAGGCAATGAAGGTTTTTTTTTGTTTGTTTGTTTTTTGAGATAGTCTCACTTTGTCACCCTTGGTAGAGTGTCATGGCATCATAACTCACAGCAACCTCAAACTCTTGAGCTAAAGTGACCTTCTTGCTTCAGCCTCCCAAGTACAGGCACCTGCCACAATGCTTGGCTAGTTTTTCTATTTTTAGTAGAGACGGAATCTCACTTTTGCTCAGGCTGGTCTAGAACTCCTGAGCTCCAATGATGCATCTGCCTTGGCTGCCCAGAGTGCTAGGATCACAGGTGTGAGCCACAGCACCTGACTGGAAGGTATTTGATTTTAACCACATCCTGAGACCTGCTGGTTAAGTCCCCATTTCTTGTCCCAAATTATTCACCTTTGATGCCAACAGGAAAACTTCAAATCCAGATTATGGGATTCAAACTTAATGATTAATGTATTTCAATGTCAGCACTACCCAAATAAAAGTAAAATGGAACAAAACCTCTTCCAGCTAAAAATAAGACTGCTTGACACGTGTTCCTCCCAGGCTGACACATGCCGGCCACTGGAAGCATGAAGAAGAAAAAGCCAGTCTTAGCCCTCAAGAAGTGTCCAGGCCCACAGTAACTAAGATGCATTCCAATTCCTTTGCCCTTTCCTTCACTATTTTTGCACCAGGAACATAGCATCATTCTCTTCCAATCATGTCTCAAGAAATAAAGTCTAGAAACTGATTCTCTGAGAAATCAGTGCATAAACAACCAGGTACCAGGTCTGCCAACCCATCCATCTGAGAAAGATTTTCCAACATTCCTTTCCCAAGGACGTCCTCTCTTATCACAGGCTACATAGCTACCAGAACTGACTCATTTGGTCTTAGAAGCTAATATCTTTCCCGTTCTAAACTGACTCATATGGTCACAGCTTCTTCCTACCAAAATCAGAGGAGATGATTTTATAACATGGGCCAGGAGCAGGGTGGTACTACTTCACTGCCTTTAGGAAGTCTTAACTGTCCATTCAGGAGGATGGCCAAAGCATGCAGAGGCCACGCGATTTATATGCTAAAGGCATGCAATTAAAGAATCATAAGAAATGTAAAGTCATCTGGGGTATGGCTTTCAAGTTATAAATGTCAGTGACAGTGAAGTCTGCTGTTTTGGGAGCTCCTCCAACAGCAGGTTGACAACAGCCCGACCCAGCAGCTCTGGAGGAGGCTGACAGACAGCTGCTCTTTCGGTAGTTACTCCCAGAAGTGCCAAGAGGTTTCTCCAAAGGCAGCTAGGTATATGGCATGCTGGAAGGAGAAAGTGACAACATATTTGGTGGCAGAGAGACACAGCCCAGGAGTCCCACACGACGCCAGCACGTCTGTCTGCTCCATAAAGGCTGTCAAACCCACACGGTGCAGAGTTGACAACAGGAGGGAGGTGCAGATGCTGCCATAAGAATCACAGCACAGTAAATGCAGAAAGATGCTCATCTTTCCACTGGACCCAGTTCCAGTCCCCGCAGCCTGGCAACCCTTGGGGAGCGGTGACCAGACTCCCCTATCTATTGGCACCAGTTTCAGTGAAAACAGACCCTTGAAGACAGACTATTCAGTTGTCTAGTCCCTGAAATGAAGTCACATTCCCATTACCCAGGGTGTAGGGGTGTGTATAGGCAGGGAAGGACAGATTAAATATGCTCGGTATACTTTAGACAAAGTCCCATATCTTTAGACATTCAAAATCCCTTTGAGGTTGCAAAGGACACACACATCCTGTTTCTCTGTTTTCTCCGAGCAGGACACATTCTCAAGGTGACGGCTAGGGAACAGACTCGTGAAGTCACATGATTTTCCAGCTCTAGCATTTATGCTTTTATTCCCGTTTAAGACAATCTATCTGCTTATGAGTTGTTAGAATGTTTTTTCCTGTGATGGTGTTAGAGGCGATATATGTTCAAAGACCCACATGAATTTTAAGAAAAAAAAAATTAAGGAAGTTTCATGATTTATTTTTTTGACCCTGTAACTTTGATATCCAAATCCTATCAGCCTGTGAAATCCAAACACTCTGCTCCAAAGTGAACGTGTGATTTACCAAGGTAACTCTCAGGTGTAGCCTAAGCAGTGGTTTCAAGTGCTATACACAATTCAGGCTGTTAAAATAAGGAAGTACTTAGCAAATTGCTTCCACCATAAAATATAGTCATAATTGGGGACAAAAATGTATTCCTTGATTACATTCACATCATGACTCTCTGTGTCAGGCCTGGGTTGGGCTGGTCTGAAGGGCCAGCCCTTCTATGGAAGAGTAAGTGGCCATGGAGAAGCTCAACAAATTTATACAAATTTATATATATTCTGAATGAAGTAATAGCCTTCTGCTTCAGCCAATTCACTGATTTTATAGAGATAAAATATTCTTGTTCAATTACCCTGAAAGATCAATTCCACCACACAGACAGAAATACCAGGATTACAGGTGATATTCATAGAGCCACCTTCTGGCCCGACAGGACAAGCAAGAGTGTTTATATTTTGATAGTTGAAATGACAACATTTCATTAAAGGACTTGGTCCTTTCTGCCCCAGGGGCAAATATCCTGCCTGGGCACGATGCTCATATGCTTAGCTAGAATGAATACTTGCTTACTATGGTACTTACGTGGCCTAAGGGAGCCTCCGCCAATGTCCACTTTAGGATAGGAATCACTCCTGAAACACAAGGACAAGGACATTTTTAAGTTCCTCCTCTTTAAGGACTTGATCCATCACTGCATACAGATAGGCTGACAAAGAGCTTGTACGAACCTTGTTTCTCCCATTTTGGAACCCACTTGCCTTTTAAGATAGTCTCCCAAAAAAAGATAAGCTAAAAATAATTAAGTGGGAGGCCCTATCACTTCAACACCTAGGGGCATTTGTCTAAAAAATATTATCTCCCTTGTTAGGATTCAATCCATTTATTATTAGTTCAGGAAGAAGGCAGCTACACTTGGCAACAAGGGAACACTTGCACAAAACTACTCTTTGTTCCAAATCTCAACAGGCATTAAACCAAAGCTTTTTACCAATCCTAATGCTCTCCAGACTGGCCCACATTAATACATGCACAGTGCCCCAAGTATAGGTGTATACACAATTTTAAAAATAGATAGTTCTATTTTAAAAAACTAAGGAGTTCATGGGAGAAGATCAAAACAATCAAATTATAAGCCTGTTCATTCAAATATAGCAGATTACTTATAGCTGCTTCCCCTTGAATAAAACCAAAAGTAGCAGCAAAATGCATTTTAGAAATAGATCTACTTAGAAATATATCTTCTGATGTGGCTATTATTTTCCCTGTACAATACTCCAACAGAAGGAACAGGAGGAAAACACGACAATACATACAGTATGTTTCTGACATTCACGCAACGCATCAGCAGAGACTTATAAATCTGAAAAGGACCTCAATTAGGAAGGGAGGACAGATCCACCTTCACAGTGACTACCTGGAAAGTCTTCTAAGACTCAGTCTTAGGACTTCAAGGAAGAACATACCGGACAATTTTCTTCTCAAAGATTTCTCAAAGAATTGTTATTTTTAATCCAAATGATGCCAATTCCCTCCTTATATGGTCTGCAGCATAAAACTACATGAACAGTACTAACATTTTTGTCTGTGTCAACCAGATCTGAGGTTTGTTAAGAGGTTTGTGCACTAGGGCAGCTTGGGAGAGCAGATTCAACCTACAATCATTCCAAATCCTCTGTCCCCATGGAACAGCCTGGGTTCAATGAATGTTTACTCAAAAATGGAAGACTGAAACTGAATCAAGGCCTGTGACTCTTCGTATACTAGTTTCTGTCTAAGATAGCTGAGGTGAAGGAATGGGGTTTGAAATCCATTTTTAGAAAACAACCCTTAACATTGGTCATTATCAGAACACTTCATTCCTGAATAGCGGTGTAGGCTAACAGAATGAATACCCAGGTCCCTCAGGCCTAAATACCACCGGCCTGCTTCCAACACTTGTACTCTTTATATTTCTATAAGCATCTCATTTGGTGCATTATATGGCAATTTTCCTTGTGAATACTAGGATCAAGTCCATGGGCAGTACATGACTTATGAATCATACTCATGATAAAACTGTAAAATTCAAAAAAGTATTCATAATGTAAAGTAGTAGTAGTATTCCTTCACCAATGCTTTCAAGCTGGTTTTGTTTTTTGCTTTAACTATAGCTACAAAGTTAAGAACTCAATCATGTTTTTATCTTAAGAATCAGACACGCTACTTTGAGTCACAAGAAAACACAGACTGGGTCACCCTTGGCTCTGTTCATTTGCAAAATTCTTGGTCACCAAGAACTCAAAATGCCATTTACTGCTATCCTCAACAAAGCTTTGGTGTTCGACTTATCTTACATATCATTCCCTGCAGAGTCAACCACATGACATTAATGAAAATTTATAGCCATTTCTAGCTGTGTCTATAGATAAAATATTGAAAGAGGGTCTTTCCCCTTCCTAATTTTCAAAGCATCCTTACATCAAGATGTGACCCACAAGTATGTTCTCTGGGGATTAACTGGCTCCCTCAACTTCATTTAGGCTTATGCTTTGATTTACCACCCTTCTTTAAATGACACCTAAACTGTGAGAGCATTTGTAGATCAGATCATGAGAGTACAATTCTATCTTGCAAGAGGAATAAGGCAGCAATCACAGGGGGTGGTGACAGTGTAGCCAAGAAAAACTGGAGTCCCATTTTCAAACAACATTTACCCTTTTCATTTTACATGTCATGTGAAAAACACGGCAATTGCCCAACCAAAAACGGCCTACTTGATGAAGCCTGTGCTATGCCACCGCACCCTGTTAGAAATCTGCGTTTGTTTCTCCCTCCCTGGAATCCAAAGCCTGTCCAAAGGGGAGCCATGATGACCAGATGCACGAGAGAGTCCACCCCGTGCAGTACCCACTGGGAACCTGATGACACAGGATGGTGGATTCCAGACCTGCCAGTCTCATACCTCCCCACCCCTTTACGTGCATCAGCACCAGAGCCTGTTAGGTTAATCTCTCAGTTTATACACTCAAAGGTCTTTTTCTCTTATTCCCTATGGACAGCATTTTTCCCAGTAGTGAAATCTCAGAATCCTGAATGCCAAAAAACCATCAAGGATTTCCCTCTCCTTTTCTAGCCTAAGGCAAAGGTAGGTGAGAACACCAAGGCTGCCCTATACATTTATTCCTATACATGTGTCAAAGGTTCGGCCTAAAATACCTTCATACCTAGGAAGATTTCAAATAAGACTGACTGATATGCACTAGAAGCAAATAATGGCCAAGTTTATAAACTTTAAATCATTCCATCTTCCTTATTAAGCATCACCTAACTCAGCAGACCCCGCCCCCATAATTACAGCACTGGTTTCACATGGCTTTCTACTACATTGGCTAGAGCAGCTGAATTCACATATTGTGACATTTTGCCTGGTTACCTAGATCTAGAGTGGTCTTTGATATCAAAACATACACACCAATAACCTGAAATAGGTTTGGTTTCATTATACTTCACAACTTTCCAGCATTTCCATTTCATTGAGGCCTTGTCAATCTCCATGGAAAGTTTCCTAAAATATATAGATTCTAGGCTCGGCGCCTATAGCTCAACCGGCTAAGGCACCAGCCACGTACACCTAAGGTGGCGGGTTTGAATCCCCAGCCC